CTACTCACTTAGTAACTAGAGTTTCTTGCTTTGTAGATAAAGAAAAAATTATCAAGGATTCTAGTGTCCCACTTTTTACCCCTCTGTAATATCCTCCTACTCCAAATTCATAATCAGCCAGCTACAGTTTGCATCTTTTCTGCCAAGAATGTAAAAGGGTTGCAGAGAGTGCAGAACTTAACATTCCTTATCTTTCCTTGTATTAGTTGTATTTCTAAGTAAGAAACTATCCCCTAAAGTGAGCATTTTCTATATTAATGCAAGGGCTTTTTCCCCTCAGAAGTAAAGAGGTTATATAATCAACATTAAACACTTTTTAAAGTATTGTCACACAACTTTAAAAATTGTATATATTGCAATCAGGCCATGAAACTTTTGGTACCTGTTTACATATAACATCTAAAATAATTTTAATGCTAGGCCATCCTGAAAGAAATCCTTCAAAATAGAACAAAGAATAAACAGATATCAAAAAAGAGACAACATTCAGTCTACTGTGGGACACATTTTTTAAAGTATGATATTTTTTTTTTTGCTAGGATTGATTGATGGCTTTTTAAAAGAGGAATACAGGTGCCTTTCTATTTTAAAGGGTAATATTGACAACCATGATTCTTTCTTCTTGATTATTCTGGGAAAAGATTGTTGTTGCCTATATGAGGCTAATGAATGCTTCAGAAAATTAAAAGTTACAATTATTGGCTCAGATCAATATAATTATTTCATTTTCTAGTTTATGTGGAGCAGAAAATTATTAATCATTCAGTACAGTAAATGCTAAGAACTGTGAAACAGGGTCACAAAACAATGAGGCAGATGGAATTAATTTTATGAAAATTCTGTTGAATATTTAATATTCTTTTAATGATTTGTGTGGTATGTGTATTTAATGAGTCTTGGAAGTAATTAAGGACTTAATTCTGACATAGGAAGAAAGCACTTGATTGACGGGAGAGCTTTGCAGCTCTGCCATTAACATAATAGTTTGACCTTAGATGTCATTGGGCCCCAAATTTTCTCCTTTTGAAATGGCATTCTTTTATTCCACAGATTGTAAGCACTTACTATGTGCCAGACACTTTGAGAAAAAAAAGAACAGAAAATGATTTTCCGCTTGAGAGTAGACTAGAGGAAAAGACAATGTGATTCTTACAGTCACTGGAAACTTCCCACATTTCTGATTGTATTATACTTAACAGGGTTTTTTTGTTATTTGTTTTTTGATCTGTTTGGCAAGTATGGATTTGACAGTAGCTTTTTGTCCTTTTAACTGAGTGGATATGAACATGGACTGGCCCTTTTACTTCCTGGCATGAAAGATCCATACCTGAGATTGTACATGATCTGTGGATCATGCTTTTTACCTGCTTCAGCCAAACTAAACAGTTCAAAGTTCTGTGCTTATGGGGATTCTGTAGCAATGTTAGATGTTTAATTTCCCAGTACAGTGGTTAATGATAGAGTTGTATTGCTTCTTAGGAATAAAAATTGTAAAAAAGTGTTTGTATTTGCTTTTTGTACTTTATACAAAATTACTACAAGTTTAGTGCTTTAGGATAAGTTACCTCAAATCTAGTGGCTTAAAACAACACCCATTGATTATTTCACAGTTTCTATGGGTCAGAAGTCCAGGCATGGCTTAGCTGGGTCCTCTGCTCATGGTGTCACAAAACCTCAGGGCCAGTCTCATATGAGTCTCAAAGAGACTCAGGTTCCTCTTCTAAGCTCAGGTACTTGTTGACAGAATTCATTTCCTTGCACTTTGTAGAACTCGTGGTAGTTTGCTTCCCAGTAAGAGAATCTCACCCTCTAGACCCTGTTTTAATGGGCTCACCTGATTAGGTCAGAGTCACCCAGAATAATTCCTGTTTTGATTAGTATAAAGTCAACTCATTAGGGACCTACTATATCATTAAAATCCCATCACCTTTGCTTTTTCCATTAGTTAGAAGCAAGTTACAGGTTCTGCCCACCTTCAAAAGGAAGAGTTTATACAAGATGTTGATACCATGGTCATGAAGCAGAAGAATCTGCTTGGCATTGCGTCTACAGTAGGGGTGGGTTTTTGGGGTTTTTTGTTGTTGTTGTTGTTGTTGTTAAACATTGAACAGGTATAATACCTACATATATATTATGTAGAGTATTTAAAAAAATGCAACAAATACCTAACACCCAGTTTAGGAAATGGGACATTATCAATGCCTTTGAAATTCTTGTGTGCTCCTCCATTTTTATGTATGGTTTCCTGTCCCACAGAGGTTACCCCTATCCTGAATCTTGTGTTTTCCATTTCCTTGCCCTTTTGTTTTTAAATTAT